ATTCGTCGTCACCACTAAAGGTATACATATCGATCCTGACAAAGTGAAGGCGATACACGAACTGCAACCTCCTAGAAATCTAAGAGAGCTCAGAGGATTGCAAGGGCGGCTAGCTTACATCCGGCGGTTCATCTCAAACCTTTCTGGGAAGTGCCAACCATTCTCTAAGCTAAACAAGAAAGGGGTGTCATTCATTTGGGACGATGCCTGCCAAAAAGCATTCGAAGATATCAAAACGTATCTGGCGAACCCTCCTGTTCTCGTCGCACCAAAATCAGGTAGACCGTTCTTGATTTATCTCAAGGCGATAAACCACTCGATAAGTGTCTTACCGTAGGGGGTACGATGGTTTATTACTCCGATGCCTTTCGAACAAAGAAGCAGAAGAAGTTCTTAAGGAAGCACACGAAGGAGAATGTGGTGTGCATCAGCCCGGTCCCAAACTGTATGATCGCATCAGGAGAATGGGATATTTCTGGCCAACGATGGTTCGAGATGCAATCGAACATGCACGAGAATGCCACGCTTGTCAGATACATGCGAATTATATGCATCAACCGCCAGAGCAGTTGCACACATCTTGTCAGTCCTATTTTTCCCCCTTTGGTCAAAGGTGATCGATTCATTCTCACAATCATGGATTACTTTTCAAAGTGGGCTGAAGCAATTCCGCTCAGAGAAGTGAAGACGAACAACGTCATCAATTTCATCAAGCATCATGTCATATACTGACACGGCGTGCCAAGACGGATCATTCATGACAACGGTCCACAGTTCATAAGCAACGCCTTCATCAGGTTTTGTGACAAATTCAAGATTGAAGATGTCTCGTCGACACGATCATTAAGATCCTGTCAAAGCACGTGAAGACCAATAAACGAGACTGGGACGATAAACTCGGTGAAGCACTCTGGGCTTATCGCACCACCATACGCACACCTACAGGAGCCACCCCATATTCGCTGGTATACGGATGCGAGGCTGTGCTACCTTAGGAGATTCAGATCCCGTCACTTCGGATCGCTCTCGCAACTGAGATGACGATAGAAGAACACCATCAAAAGCGTCTCGAAGAACTCCCACCATACGCACACCTACAGGAGCCACCCCATATTCGCTGGTATACGGATGCGAGGCTGTGCTACCTTAGGAGATTCAGATCCCGTCACTTCGGATCGCTCTCGCAACTGAGATGACGATAGAAGAACACCATCAAAAGCGTCTCGAAGAACTCGAGAGGTTAGACGAAAAGCGGTTGGAGGCTCAACAACAAATTGAGTTATATCAAGCCAGAATATCTAGGGCTTTCAACAAAAGGGTCCGACAGAGAAGCTTCAAGGAAGGAGATCTGGTCCTCGCTGCTCGCCGACCGATAATCCTCAATTCCAAGAAGAAAGGTAAATTCGAACCCAAGTGGGAAGGACCGTTTGTGATAGACACAGTCTACTCAAACGGTGCATATCGCCTGATTACTCAAGAAGGCACCAGGCAATTAATTCTAATAAATGGGAAGTTCCTAAAAAAGTACTATCCCTAGTATATTCAAGATAACCCATTTACCGGGAAGTTCCTTGAAGAATATTACACTTAATATTCTAGAGGATAACCCAAAATCTTTTTCACCACCAAAATCCCTCACTGATCAATTTCAATTGACAGTGGGTCCACTAAAAATATCTTTCTGGCCCTCTTGACTTTTTCCATGAACAAGAGGTCCACTTTAATTTTGGAATCCCTCTTTCGATAAACGAAAGAACTCCCTTCTTCTTCTCTTTGGTTAAGCCCTCTCATGGCTATAACCGAAGTTGAAGTTTCACTTCGATAAACGAAGAACTCTTTTTTCAGTTTAGATAACCAATCCTATAAAAGGCAAGTTTATCTAAATTTTCCAGATTCTCGGAGTGGAGATCCCACTTCTAGTTTCTTTTGCGCTGGAAATAGAATATAAAATTCTTCCTTTCCAGAATCAAGGAATAGAATATAAAATTCTTCCTTCCTTGTTATTCGGGTTTGCCTTCACCCTAAAAGAAGACCGGGAAATAGAATATAAAATTCTTCCTTTCCCGCACCGATCTTTCCAAAATTTGTCAATTTAGGATTCATCCTAGGAAGTTTATCCCGAATCCTAAGCAGGGATAAGTCTGCGCCTAACACGCGCTGACGGTTTAGTCTTTTTCCTGTGACAGGTTGTTATTAATAACACCAGAATCCATGCCTTACACGCATGGGGAATTTCATCCTGAATCCTAAGAAAGGATATGCCGACGCCTAACACGCGTCGCCGGTTTAGTCTTTCTCCGAAGAAAAAGACACCAGAGTTCGATTCTGGGGAATTTTATCCCGAAGCCTAAGTAGGGATAAGTCCGCGTCTAAAACACGTTGCTGGGTAGCCTATTCCCATAACAATGGCGAAGTCTACATATTCGAAGTTGTAGCATCAAGTCTAAGGGAGTTCATTCCTTTAGCACAACGTCACATGCGGAACGGATTTAGATAATCCGCATGCTAGACCGACTCAAACGGTAGTCGGTAAAGGCTAATCAAACCCGTTAAAGGCTGGGGGTTAGCCAAAAATCCTAAAGTCAACACCTAACACGTGTCGCCAGGTAGCTTATTCCCGTAACAATGGCAAAGTCTATGTATTCAATATCATAGCACAAAGTCTCGGAGAATTTACTCTCTTAGCGCAACGTGACATGTGGAACGGATTTAGATAATCCGCATGCTAGCCTGACTCAAATGGTAATCGGTAAAGGCTAATCAAATCCGTTGATGGCTGAGGGTTTGCCAAAAATCCTAAAAGTATTATGGTCAATCATTTCAAACGGAATGAGGAATCATAATAAAGATAAAGATAAAAGAAACCAGTTCCACTAATAGGATCAAAAGTCAAGACATTCAGCAAATGAAATCATACATCAAAAACATGGCCAAAAATCTGCTGATTAAGCTTAGACAGCTTCTCATCATAAGCTTGCCTCAGCTCAGCTCTGATGGACTCCTCGTTGGTAGCTAAAGTCTTCGCAGCAACCTCCTCCATCTCGGTCAACTTCTGCTTCAAAGATTTCAACTCTTCAGATAGAGCAGTGTGGGCTTGTTAATCCTGTACCTTCGTCATCTGAAGAATACCAAAAGTCTCCTCTTTTTCACGGAGTGCTCTTCTGAGCTGGTCTATCTCGGTCGCACAAGAGGCAAGAGAAGAGTCAAGCTCGGTGAGTGAAGATGATTTAGCAGCAAGGTGGGCCTCAACTCGGTCCACTCGATCCCGCTACACCTGAATGTCGAACTCAGCAAGAAACCTAGCATCGCGCCATGTCTGTAAATGAGTGTCCAACTCGGCAGCGATGAATGAAGAGGCACCTGCATCCCGAAGCTCACAAAACATCTGAAGCTCACGCTCTAGGCAGTCAAGATCATCAACAATAGACTTCGTCAGATCTGGGTACCCTGCATCCCTTATGGAATTTATCTTAAGATCAAGGAATGGCTTGAACTGGTGAAGGGAAAGTCCGCCGTGGAAGAGCTTGTCAATCATAGCATTCACAAAGGAGAAGAAGGAACGGATCTCTATACAGATGACAATCTTCTCTGGGTCGCTGTCTGATAATAACTCCTTCACAAGGACGTGAAGCCGAGAAGAAAGCCCTACACAAAAAGGAGAAATCCGTCAAAAGCCTTGATGAAGAAATGAATGACATTCCTCAGTTGCTCAAGTTATACCTTCTTTCCCTTGAATCACCGGGGGTGGTGGAGGTGTAACGGCTGGGGTGTATCAACTGGTGTAGTTGGTCCCACAGCCGGCTCAACAGGTGGTGGAGGTGTAACGGCTGGGGTGTATCAACTGGTGTAGTTGGTCCCACAGCCGGCTCAACAGGATCGGTCTCGACAAAAGCTCATGTCAAATACAAAATAGAATTCTCAGATGCATCATATTATAGTTGCATTAGTCAAAAAATTGACTGGTCCTATAATTAACTTGAGAAAAGCTACGTACCTTCAGAAAAACCATCCTCAGGATTATTAGGGAGCGTAGACTCAGGAAATAAATCTCCAGGCAACTGGTCATCAATTTGAGGAGAACCATACATGAAGTGGAGCATAGGAGTGTCCACAAGCAAGCCTTCCTCATCAAAATCATCAGTCGAGAAATCTGACACAAGAGAATATAAGCACGAAAGGAAAATAAAGAGACTACGACCAATAGAAATGAGTTACCTCTTATGGGTGCGTCAGCCTCTCTATTCCCAAAATCCACGTTTGCCTCTTGCGAATTATCTAAAAGAGCAAGAAGTATAGAGACAATCAGAGAATGCACAAATTCCAAATCATTCAACTCCTTTGTGTATTATTAATGGTAGATGTACCTGGATTCATCGAACCGGGTCCTACATCGACAGTCTCCCTAATGTCACCAGCTTCTGCATGCCTCTCTACTTGGTGCGGTGGGTCGGACTCACCAGAAGATATAGAATCGTGAAAAATGGGATCTGGACTCATCTCGCTCTCCCCACGCTCTCCTATATAGAAATGGAAAGGCGTGAGTCAAAGTTCTGAATGGTCAAGAGGCTAGTCTATGGGATAGATGTTACTTCCATCACTAGCAGGGTCGTCACTGGCTAAATCCATATCCGATGCTCGCGAAGCTACATGCGGCTTGCGGGCTAATCTCTTCCGCCTAGCAGCAGGGATAACAATCGAAGGTCTCTCCTGGGGAGGAGGACGGAACTCTTCATCCCGGTCAGCTGTGGTCCCTGAAACATCAAACCATTGTCAGGCTGAATCGTTTGCAGTCTGGAACCATCAAGCGAGCAACCTATGGTAGGGTTCGAACAAGGCTCCCTTCAGAAGATAAAAGGAAAGAGTAGGAAACCAACCTCGTTCAGAAGGGTCCTCGTGATCTTCAAGATCTCCGCCTGAAGCCTCATCAGCAGAATGAAAGATCTTATTTCCCTCTTCGTCAATCCGACGGGTCTTGTGCCGTGCCCTTTGTGAAATATCTTCTACTGAGCATCACAGAACTCTATATCAAGGAAATCTCCACTTGTTTCCACATCTTCAGTATCAACATAAGAATCAGAGTCTTCTACTTTTTCAGGCATCATTGCTGGCTTCTGAAGAGCGTGAGGAATTGCTGCTGGCTTTCTTGCCTCTTCTATAATCCTCATAATTTCCCCCAGTGTCTGATTAAACTTATTACGTTCCACTAATGATTGGTATCTTGTTCTTTCGCCCTCGACGAGCTCTCTTGGCATGTTTTTTAAGAACCAGGGATGTTGCTTTATCTCAGGGATGGTTATTCTCTGAAAGAGAAAAGCATTGTAAAATTAATAGGCTAGTAGAAAGGAAAATAACGATAAAAATGTAAATTTCACGAAACCCCCAGAGAAGTGTAGCACTTTTTGACAAAATCCCCAAAAGGTTAGGACATGTCACTTAGCCCTCAAAACTTTCGAATTTTTCTGAATCTATTTTCAGATATCCCCTAACTTTTTGGGGGTCATCTAACAAGTTTTGGGGAAGAGGAGGGGGGGGGAGTTGGAGTGAGAACCTTGTAGGGATTGGCTACAAAAATTCGAGAGAGAAGGTGCCTGCAACCTGGAGAGACTCTTACATAATCCGGGATGTAGTACTGAACACTCATTATTCGAGTGAGAACCTCGAGCATTTTCCTAAATCATACGGGAATCAGCCTGAGAAGCCTCCTCAGCCTCTAGCTCTACAATCGGCTTCACAGGAATAGTTTTATTGGCTGCTAACAACCACTTGCAGCTTAGGAATGTGAGGTTCAACTACCGCTCAGAACTCGAGAGACTGAACTTAGCACCAGTACAGCCCGTCACGGTCCATAACCATGCACGAAGACCATCCACCAAACTGGCGAGCGAATCGACAGGGAAGATATGGCTCTATGAAACACTGATTCCTCACCCGGAAAGTCAGATAACCCGGCCTGATGTTCACCAGCCAGTTAAAGCAGCCGACGTCTAAATGAGTTCGATACCCCCTCGGCTTTTCCTCATCAATCAGACACTCGCCGTATCGGCCGGAGAACTGCGGAAAACAAGCGGAAAACGTCCAACACTTTTGGACCTGTAGCTGCTGTCTGACGTCAGGGAATCCTCACCCCTCCCACTTGCCATTCTCAAACAGCTGTAGTAGGGGAGCGGAGGGGTCTATGGCATACGGTACTGACATCATATCAGAACGATGAAGGACGAACCAAGCCATCAAATAAGTGTATGGAAGCTCCACCTTAATGGTAGGAATCTGAGTCGGTGGTCCACTTTCCTTCCGTGTAAAAGCACTAGAAATCTGTCGAAGCCCTCGATGAATGTTAGCCACCATCACCGGAAGAAGTGAAAGTTCCTTTTTGTAGGCAAGCTGAACCCCTGGGTAGAGAGATGTCACTAGACTGATACGGGACCACGTATTTCTTCAACCAGATAGCGAGGTAACCGGCTAGAAGGGTCATCGGTCAAATCGGCGCGGTCGCATGCCACAAGAATGACCTGAACTTAGTCCCTGTAGGAAAACCACTCTCAGGACTGCTAGTGGTATAAGAATGAGCATCAACCTTCTTCAGTAAATTATTCACCCCTGAAGGAGTGAGTGGAGCCAGCTCACAAATAGCCTCGCCAGAATTGCTCTCTAGATTCCTGAACAAATAAGACGCAAACTGTTTCTGGCTCACATGGGATTTAGCCCTCTTCGCTAAGGGTTCAGACTGCGCCAAAGCGATATGATAATGACATGTGAGATCCCATAAAGTCTCGTAATGGTCGGGCATGCGATCCTTCAGATGACTTAATTCTTGGTTGGAGGGAAAATATTCCTGATATAACATCTGTCCCATGGGAAAACCAGAAATCCTGTGCATCTCTTGGAGGGCCAAGCCCAACTCCCCTTGCCGTGTCAGAAAAGTATTAGAATCCGGGTTATAGAGCTCGCACAAAGCGAAGAAATGCTTCGTGCTAATAGGCGAACCATACATAGTGGCACGATCGGCTGCATACAGACCACAAGCGTGCAACTCCTCGCTCCATCGGCTCAAGACGTACTTCGTCATGCGAGTCCACCAAAGTTTGTCCAAAGAATGGACCCAACCATAAAACCTGTGGCGTGTCGCAGGCATCTCCCGTCCTAAAACAGCGAGGCGATTCTTCAAAGTAGAAGCAGCGGCAAGAAGCTCGTTACGTGGCGGTGCATTTAACCCCAATACTCCAGGATGCAACCCAGTGATGTGACTTCTGCTCGAACCAGGAGGTGCCTGATGAGTGATGTATCCGCAGTGAACGCTCTCATGCTCCTCCGTCAAGCGCCACGACATCTCCCGTGTCACAGCCTGACGCCGGAGCTCAGTCAACGAACGATGCCGAGGAATCTTCGGCAAATATATGAAACCACTGCCAGTCTTATGAAGCCACTGCTCAGCATCAATAAAAACGGCTCTTCTTGAGAGGCTGAATCAAGCTGGCATCCTTCACGAGGGGCGCATCTGTAATCAACTGGCGAAGAGCTCGATATCCACCTTCCTTCACCACTTGGGCAACCTATGTCGACGTGCCCGAAGCAAACCGAGGAGTGACTGGGATGGGGGAAAATCGTCGGAAGTCGAATAATACTCGCCACGACGCCCGTACACTGCGTGAGATGAGAACGCCCCAGAAGGATATTCCACTGGAAGCAAAAAATTCAAACAGTTGTTAGTCTCAATCATAAAAGGAAGTTGAACTCATCCTACGAATGTGTAAGATAGAGTCACTGCCTTATAAAGGGTGAGACGATTTGGCCACATTATGCACTTATAAGATAGGGTATATCGATAATATATCCCTGCCTTATAAGGCACAATGCAGCATCAAAACGCCCCATTTATATTGAGATATGGTTTTGACTAAGCAAAACATATCTTTAAAGTGTCGATCCTCGCCAAGGAGAATCAAGGCTCTTCCCGATTGCCTCGCCAAGGAGAACAAAATGGGGTGAAAAGGTTCAATTTGTAAATTTCCAAAAAATAGCTCACCAGCATAAGAAGGAGGCACGCCATCAGCCGACGCGATAGAGGATTGACCCCTCGCAATACGAGACATAGAGACCTGCAAATTAAGTTAAGGAATCAGATCTAGAAAAAGTTCCTCTTTTTTGCAATTCTCCCCCCCTGAAAGGTGAGCTCGAGGCGCCAAATCTTAATCCTAACCCTCGCATGCGACCCCACAAATTCATAAATTGAATTAAGCATAAAAAATGTTAAAATGATTGAGGATTTACCTGAGGGAAAGCTCGTGGATCTAATAAAAATCAGATCTTGAAAGAGACTCAGACCACGTGCTCGAGGGGCCTGAGAGAAATTCTAAATATGGAAGTTTTGAGGGATTTCTCAGTCAAAGATCCAAAGGAAGCCCAGATCTAATGCAACTATGAAGTTTTGAGGGAGAACGGATGCTCGAAGGAAGAGAAAAATGAAAAAAGGGAGAGAGAGGGGGCCGGCCCTAATGAGAGGAAAAAACCCTCTTTTATAATGTTGAACCAAGACCAAATTGAACCGGACCAGACCAAGTTGAACCGGACCAGACCTGGTTTGAACCAGAATTCAAATTGAAGCTGAATCGAGCATCGAAACAACTTCAAATCAACCGAGGGTTCAGTCCTTGGTTTATTCTTGCCTCTCCCACATATTCGGAAGGATCAGGAAATTTTTTAAGCCGAATTACTGCCTTTTTTGGCTCATTATCAAGCCGGTTCAGCTCATTATCAGGCCGGTTCAGCTCATTCGGGCACAGAAATTACTCCAATAAGGTATATGAGTATAAACTATTCCCTATTTTTGGTTTGAGAAGTTCCTGGAGAATATTGTTTATAAATATTCTTAAGGATAACTCAACCACACTACGCCGGACAACGCGTTGTGCATAAAGACTCGACGCCACAATCAATGGTCAGCTCAAAGGAATCGACTTCAAGTTCAGAAAATTCCGACAAACGGTCACAACAAATCGAGTCCAGACAAATCAACCGCACAACCAAATCACGGACAAAACGGGAACAACGACGGAACCCAAACACCCTGAGGGGCTCGGCCGAAACCGAGCCACCCCAGGGTGGCTCGGCATGAGCCGAGCCACCCAGGGGTGGCCGGCCACTTGTGGCCGAGCCACCTCAGCCCAGATCTGTGCCTAGGCACAGATCTGGGTGCCTATAAATAGGCCAAGGGTTGTTCTTTTTGAAAGGTTGGAACTTTGAGAGCCGAAACTCTGCCGAATTGAAGATTGAGCTCAGAGTTTTGAAGACTTGAGGACTTGAAGATTCAGATCTGATTCTCGGCGAACGTCCACGTCACAAAAGGCAGGATTTTGAGAGAGGTAAAGATCAGATCTGAGATCTACACGAAATCACACTCCGGATCAAAGCTTGTCCTTTGATCCCGAGAATTAAAGGCTACTATTTCCTTGGCGAAATAGTACCCTCGGCTATTATTGCCTTTGCGAAATAATACCCGTCGAATCATGTAGATCCGACCGGATCTAGATCGTGCGGTGGTCCACGGATTAACCCCGGCGTTGCCAAAGAACCCACACAAGCAAGAGACCGCAAAACAGGATCTTGCGATTTGTTCAAAAGGAAAGTTGTAATTTTTTCTTTTTCTTTGATTTCATTGTAACCGGATCTAAAAAATACTGGATCTTTTGTAACAAAAAAATTATAGTTATTCAAGATGACAATGAATTCAATGAAGGCAATTTTCACCGCGAACAGGGTCCGGGCATGCGCAAGCAAGGTGCGGCGCTTTTGGATTCGCTCTTCGAGAGTAGAGCGGGTTCTTTGGACACAAACTCATCCGTTAATTGGAGATCGAGAGGAGGATTCCGATGCTGGTCGTGGCGACAGATTAGCCACTTGGCGCTTTCTGAGCTCCAGATCTGCTTGGTAATGGAGACCATCCATCTGATCCAAAGCCTTGGCGAATTGGCGCGCGAGGCGTTGTCGTTTCCTTTGACGTGCTCTATTTGATAGAGTTGGCGCGCCTTCAGCAGTCGACTCCTTAATCGTAAGGGAGTTCAGATCTACAAATTTGGCTTCATTGAACGCCGGTGGATAGTTGCAAGGTGCAACAGCAACAGTGGCGGAGAGATCGTCTTCTTGGGTCTTCAGATCTGAAGACCAGCAGATCTTTCTGGAGGAGGAGGCACTCCTGCACTTGCCAGGAGAGGTGGATCTGGAGGAAGAGGAGGAGGAGACGTACTCCTCGAACTTTTGCTGGTCGAATTCATATTCGACCTCTTCGAGCACCGGGATCTTGATCGTCGGCTGTAGCACGACAGCTTCGGCAGCGAAGTTGTTGGCTCCCACTGTGGTCGCTAATTTGTTTGCGGTGAAAGTTGATGTTTCCATTGTTATCGAATCTATTACAACTTTAGTCGTTACAATAAACTCGAATAAAATAAAAAGTTGATCTTTTTATAAGATCTCCTTACACAATGAAAATAAAAAGTTTACAACTTTATCAAACAAACGCAGAGATCGTTTATCGGTCTTCTGTTTGTGTGGGATCTTTGCCTATAATGGGGTTTATCCGTGGACCACCGTCGATCAGATCTGATTGCTGAAAATTGGGCAGAGCTTCGTCGATCCGACCGTCGATCA